ACACATTTCGTTGACTTCTATCATAATTTACTAAAAATCTAATTTTAATTCTTAGCAAATAAGTGGTTAATAAATTGATTTTTTTTCCTATTAACCTACTATTAGGAGGCTCCACCCAACCCACCAATCAATGCAAAAGGTGGATTGGCTCGAGCCCACCCAAAATTTGTTAAGTTTTCGATCAATCACTCACCATCAATTCTCGCTCATTATTTGGGATAGAGGCAGGATGGAGCAAGAATTAAAATGTTTTTTTTTTGTCCTCTGTCCAGTTTCATGATTTTTTTAGGATCCATAAACTTTGACCTAATAGCCACGTGGCCGGCCCATCCCTCCAATAGGGGTCGGCCACGTCGCCGTTATGTCAACCCCTATAAATCATGCTAATATTGACCGTTATTTTTAAATATGATTTAAATTCAAAATTAAAAATAATAAAAATAATAGTTGGGGTATGTTCGGATGAGGATCATATTTTCCATTCCCGTCTATTTCCCAGTGGGAAGGGGAATCTCTTGTGGGATCTGGTTATGCTTGTGCATTTTCCCATCCCTACTCTTTCTTCATTTTATGTTTATTTTTNGTCAGTGGATAATGTTGCAAGTGGGTGGATTATCCATGACAAGGCTAGGGTTTTGATGGATGATCGACTTGAGTTGATCCTAGCCACGATGATCCATTTCGTCGGACAAACAACTAGAAGAGCGGCAAGCAATCGATGAACCATAACAAAGAAACAAAGTATAACTTTTAATGAATAAGTAATAAAATGTGGAATTTTAATGAAAAAATAACGAAGTAATCTATAACTGTTCTTTAAATATATCAAAATCTTATTTTTAATATGGTTGACGAGCTTATCAACTCTCGAGTCGCTCAAGCCGGTTGTCATCCGTAGTTTAGGCCCACAGTGACTCATCATGTTGCCAGAGAGTGAGAAGAACAATTTTATAGGTTTGAGACTAAAAACGTATGGGTGCTAAAGATTGGGGACTAAAAGTTAAATTTTCTCATCCAATTGAACAACAGCGATGTAATAATTATAGGCGAAAAAAAAAAAAAAAACCACCGAAATCTGGACCATTGCATAGGCCGTAACCGATGTTGTTACGGTTACTACGTCGTTTCATTCGATAATCTTAACGTTCCAATGGGTTCTCTTTGGCTGTCGCTTTACATTTGAACTCGAGTGCTTCCAGTGAAGTAAAAATCAAGAAATAATATAATTGGAAGGCTCGCAGCATAAACTGCCGAAACATTCAACAAAAAATTCAACATTTGTTGAATTTATTCAGAAAAAGTTGGGGTTAAATCTGGTATATTTTCCTCTTGATTTGTACATATCCTTTTTCTTCGGTGAATTGAAGCGTTTTTTTTCCCCCTCAGAGCTAAGTGATGTACTGCATTTTGTCTTTTTATTTGAATTGTTAATTTTGCATTCAAGTCCTCTGGTTATTAGATCGAGGAAAATTTTCGCGAGGATTTGAAATTTAGTTA